TGCCAAATTGTGACACACAAATAACAGAAAGAATTATTGAAAAGAAGAGGATATTAGTTTGCTTCTGGAGAAGTACATTAAAACTTGGGTTTAAAAGATAGTAAGATGGATCTGTGTTGGAAGTTATTTTTTTTAAAAAGGCAAGTATCTGACTGGCATATTCCTGTTTCTAAAAATATTTGTGCTGGATCTGGAGGGGGCTGAAGCTGACAAAGAGACATTTACATCAGCAGAGGTGGTAACAACAAACAACTGTGCACTGTTGTGTTTTACAAGATGTGATGCTAGACAAGCTCTTTCCTCAACTTGAAGGTGACAGGAACATTTATTAAAATGTTTTTAGGGGGCTTGTAGGCACTAGTTAGATGTAGGACTGGAAGATCGGCCTATGTACTGTATTTGCATGAATGCAGGCAGAATGTACGTGACTTTTAAATTTTACAGACTTGTATAATTTGGGACAACTTCTGAAACTCTCAAAATTCCATGTACTGATTGAACCAGTCAGTGTTAAACTAAAAAATTTACATGTGAAATACTGATGCAGGCTAACACTAGTTTTGTAAGTAAAAAAACTGTTAGTTTTTGTCACTGTTAGAAGTGGCTAACTAGAAATCAGCCCTGTTTATGACTAAGAGATTAAGAAAAAGATCCTTGGCAATGGAAGTGGGAAGGGAATTTTTTCAACCAATGGTGGTTTTTTTGGCTGTGCAAGCATAGATGCAATTTAAAAAGTGTTAATGTTGGGTTTGCAAATATGCATTTTTCTAGACATTTACAAAACTTGGTTAACAATGGGCAGTTCTTTTATTTATAATTATTGTTTTTATTATTATTCACAAAAGGGTGAGAAAAAAATCATTCTGACTCCAGATCTTTTTGTTATAATAGATTTTGCTGGGTGGCCCTAATCTGCTTTGTTTTAGAGACCTACCACCCACAGCACTGTACAAAATCAAGTATCTGCTGCTTTTTGGTCCATGAGAAAACAGTTTTCATTGCAGGGATGAGAGTGTAAAGAGACTCATCAATTCCAGGATCTGTGAGCAGACTTTTATTGTATGTGTTTTACAGGCATTTCCCACCCCACTTTCACTCTTGCCATTATCAATCACAGCCTGAACTAAGAGTTTAAGTGTAACAGCTGCTGAAAGTGCTGATGAGAACAGTATAATTAGATTTTATCAACAGTTTCAGCTAAAAAAAAAAAAAAAAAAAAGAGTAACAGTAATCATGAAATTCACTGTGCTGAAAATAAGGGTACATAAGCATTGACAAGAGGACTGAATTCTTGCTGAAACAGGTATATGTCAGGACTTGATGAGTTATACCACTGCAAAACCAGACTGTGAAAAGTAGCAGTTCATAAGAGCACTAAGGCCATGTTCATCTCATTTACCCATAGTCAGTACACTGAGAATATGGTAGGCTCCCCTTACTGGCTGAGAAAACAGTTAGTTCAGCCCAAGGAGGAGTTGAGTCTTTGTCTCCATCTTCACTTATTAGGGAAGCAAAAAGACTGCTGATTTTGTACAAACTGCTCATCAGTAAAAGAATTTGGAATCTATTTCAGGCTTTAACATTGAGCCTGTGGTTCACTTCACTTCACTTCTTGCTGCATAGCTTCATCAGGTTTCCTGACTTTTCCCTTGCAATAACTTGGTTTTTCTTTAATATTGCTACTCCTGTGTTGCAGAACTGGAAGACAGCAAGACTAGGGAACTCATTCAGCATTGTGCAGAAGTGGCACATCAGAGAAGGAAGTTTTGCATGCACTGGGCAGATGTACTGATTACTTGGCAATCTTTCTCTAATACACATATCAGCAGTACAAGAATGAGACTAAAATTTAGTTTAAGTAATCACAGCTTACAGTCTCAATGTAAGACTTTAAATTTCTTGATAGATTTTTAAATATAACTTAAAGGCCTGAACTATAAAAAAACCCCTACATCTGAAAAATTCACAGTAATTGTGTTCGTGTTCACATGAACTAAGAAACTATTCTGTCTTTCATTCTGTTTTACTGCAGAGTACTCCTTCAGCCTGATGACTCCTTGCAGATTCTAGCACCCGTGGAAGCTGATGTGGGTTTCTATGCTTGCAATGCATCCAATGCCTTGGGATCTGACTCTGTCTCCATTGCTGTTACTCTAGCAGGTAATAGTTCAACCTCTACGATTGCAGGATGATCCATGTTAATTTGTGTGATTCTGGACAGAAGTTGTTTCTGGTGCAACAGATGGCTGATGAAGCTGAGTGTGTTATGTGAGGTACGCTGGGGAAAACAGAGGGTGTGAACTCTGGAAAACCCTGAGGCGTAGTCCAGCTATCATAGATAGTTTGTGAGGCTTATGTATTTCTGGAAGAAATCAGTGCTTTTTCTCACATGACATGCGCTCTTAAGACAGTGCTTATCCTGGTTGTTTGCAGCCTATATGGACAGTGCAGTTCCAAGCCTCCCAATTCATATGCTTCATTTTAAACCTACCACTAATCTCTTCAAGTCTAGCAGTCTGATTGAAGGACTTACTCAGATGTACATCAGCAATCTGGAAAACTACGAGAGCTGAAGAGCTGGTCCTTTGCAGGGTCTGATACCATTTCAATTGCTAGCAAATAGAAGTTTGCAAAAAAATTAATTTCCATTATTTCTATTTCTTTAGTAATACTTGTGTTCTAAAGCAGACTAAATATCCTGTGTTAGTTTAAAATCCAGTTCTAAAGAAAACTCATCCATATAAAAGCCAAGGGGAATGGGTGGTAATACATTAATCCATCTTCTTTGGAGTTCATTGGTAGGCAATGCCAGCAGGCTCACAACCACATCAGGACTAGCAGAACAATGGAGCAGCAAACATGAATGAAGAGCTGTTGATAAGATGAAGAAACAGAACAAACAATTAATGACTGTGACAAGGCAGAGAGATCTTACAGGAGGATCCTATTTATCACCAAGGCTAAAGAAAACACATTAGGAATGCTAGAAAACTGTTGATTTTTTCAGACTTTTCCATTTCACTGCTCCAGCATGTGAAAGCATTTGGAAGTCTCCCATGCACAGGCAGAAACCATCAGCTGCCAGTGTATCCACGTATAATTAGAGGAAGCAATAGCTGTTGGTATGCTTTAATTTTTAAAATTAAGCTTTTTACACCAAACACAGAGAAAATTCCAGTTAAGAGAAGCATTAAGAAAATGTAAGAACACAGCAATGGCCAGCAGTGAAGCTCAGATTATCTGTAAATCAGATGGGAAGAGACCTTGTCTGTCCCTTAGGAGGAGAACAGCTGAATGTTCCGGAGTGAAAAACTAAGATCTCCATTAGAGCTACATATTACCTGTAGGCAAAACCAAAGAGACTGATCCTTTTTACACTACTGCAGATCAGGAATGTCTTTGCTGGATCCTGGGCAGCAGGGTACAGGTGCTGCTGTTAAGACAGCATCATATTTTAGATGGAGTAACTCCACATTAAACCTCTTGTGTTGCACCAGCATGAAGCTGAACATCAGGTTGAAAAATCATTAGTTGAAGCTGGTATTCTGTCCACATGGTTCCAGTGAGCTTAAAAGCCAGAGTCTTTGTACAACTTAGTTTGTGGAGGCAGTTTTGTGGGATGCTGTGAGAAGTAAATGGAGCATTAGGTATACATGTAGCACAGGAAGGCTAATAGTTTTTTGATTATAATTATCAAGGCCATAGTTTAACCTTTTAGGTGAATTAACATTCATACATCTCAGACTCAAGCTGAACTCCTCTTAGGAACTGGTAAACGTTTCCATCTCATATCCAAGGCAAAGAGCTGAAGAGCCCATAAATATCAAAGTGAGATACTGAGCAGTTTTTGGAACAAAGTAACAATCTTTTTGGTATAATAGAAGCATTTTCTCACAAAAAAGCTGGAGAGCTGAGGTCATCTTTAGAAAGATCAGGAGTAGGGCTGAAAGCTTATTTCATTGAAGTATTTTCTGATTCATTTTACACACACATGGAAAAAAAAGACAGTTGAATATACTTCTTT